GTGTGCGTGCATGTGTATATATATATACATACATCCAACAGAAATATAAGAAATACTTTAAAACAGCCTAATAAATCTGCTTGTTAATCATGCACTTACTTTCCAAGTCCAATGAAAGGGAAGACAGCCACATAATAACAAACACAGATAATAAATATGAGCCATAACGGTAATGAGAAGTCTTTCACATCAGTTAATTTTATCACTTCACCTTGAGAAAAAAGAAATGCCAGCATCAGCTGTGAAAAGCTGTCTTGTAAACGATGGTTTCAAATAAACGTTTCATGAAGTTCAACTCTCCGTTTGTTTAAACTAACAGAACTGAGCTAGTCTGCACAATTTAGAATGCGATACATCCTTGACAAATACATGAAAAGTCAGATTTAAGGAATTATGAGCACCTTAGGTAATTATGAGAATTACAGACTAGGAAAGATTCATCTAAATATATTTCTGGGGGGAAAATAGGCCATGCAGTTCTCATTTTAGCAGCAAAAAGCTCTATAGCAAAGGAAGAAGCTAAAACATGTTTAATTTCCCAACCAGAGTAAGAGTCCGGTACTCAAATAAGACTTTGCAGCTAAGATGAGGGAGGTCAACTATTAGTTCAAGTTTGGCTCTGTCTCAATACTGAGCATACTTGGGGGGAGGGCAATGAAGGAGACCAACTTACCAGTTTTCCCTTGTTCTTTGCAAAGAATTTTCTCTGCTCTTTTGTCCAGGTAAGCAAGAAGAAGAGCACAAACTAGTGAAAAGATACACGTTGTACCACCTGCAGTTAACAGAACAGAAGGCACATTAATAACAAAATTTATCATATAAATGAACATAAAATTGGTTTAATTTTACATATTACAGAATCAGTGCAATGGTGTGTGGAAATATATGTATGTGAATTACTCAGCACCAATCGCTTAATCAAACCTATTACTAAAATCATAAGTGACATTACCTCACAAAAAGATTTCAAGGTGATGCACTGAAAATAAAGAACCAGGGTATAAATTGTGTGGCATATAATTTTTTAATGCCAAGGGCCACAGTAAGTCTTAAGTGGCTTGTTGGGGGCAACAGTGCAAAAAACAATGGGGCAGAGGAAGTGGGCAGAGTCAGTACCAAACCTGAATTTGATTGTTTAAATTAAATGTGCAAAGCATTTGCTCTCCATTTTTTTAATAACGTTCCACTTTTATCACATGAAACATTACAATATAGTGGCAACCTCTAGAGGGGCTCTCAGGCTAGAGTGAAGGCTTTTGAGGCCTGTATGCAATGCTGAGGCTTAAATCTAGACACCCCAAAGTGATTAAAGTGGTAATTCCTGCAACGGAATGGCTCGCAGCAAATGTCTCAGCATCACTTTCATATAACACGTTAAGCCTTTGCAATTCACATGAAAGACAGGCTTGATAAAACTGGAAACTGACATTTTAACAACAGATTTCCAATTCCTAAAGTAAGAAAAAATCATACATTATTCCTGTACACAGAAACAAAAATATTTACTAACCAATCAAGAGTGCTATGCCCAGAGTGGTGTGGCCTGTAGAACCAAGCAGATCTTGAACTTTCCAGTACACCCATCCCATAATATTCATATTCACAGTGCTCCCCTACAAAGAGATAATCTGCAGCTGTATTAATGTGTTTTCCTTCATTATATCAACAAGCAGCAGGCCCACAAGAATCTTTCTAAATAAAATTTAATTTGAATCTTAAGTTTCTATATAGGTATCAAAAAAGATTCTGTATCTTTTCTTCCTTCTGCATTAGCAGGAAATGTTCTATATCCTATATTTTTCACTCCAAGATCTACAAAGCACATATTTAATTAGTATTCTATATTTGTTCCAGGAACTGAAGGCTGAATACATTTTTTTTTTCCTACAATAACAATGTGGAATCATTTGGGCTGAGACAGTGTGACTGGCCAAGATCATCTAATAAGTTTCATAGCTGAGAACAGACTTAAACCTGGCTCTCATTGTTCTAGTCCAACACTTTAACTATCATTCTACACTGGCTCTTAACTTTATTTATTTTTTTCCTATCTAAATTCCCAATATATCTGCTTTAGTACAAATGAGTTATACTGCGTGCAAGGTTTTTAAGAGAATCTTTGAAAGGGAAAAAAAAAAAACCCTCTTAGAACTAGATTTGCAGTCCTCAACTGGAATATGTAAAATTGCAGCTCTATACTTTGATCAGATGCGTGGAACACTTGACAAGCATATATAATCCCCTAGGCCAGCAACAGGCAACTTGCTGCCCTCCCAATGATTTGGACTATGACACCCATAAACCTCAGTCGGCATCAGCTATCTCTGCTTCAGGCTGAGATAATCTGCTAGCAATAGGGCTGCACTAGAATACATCACTGTTTATGTTCTTCATATCAATTGGAATTACTTTAAATGCACACAGGGTGATTGTGCATGTATATCTTTTTTATTAATAGTATAACAAAATCTTTGCAAAAATCAGACCCTACCTTTTAGCTATCATTTGATGTCTCCAGATGTCTGCAGACATCTCCTCCAAATCATTTAGCGCAGTGGAGAAAAAGACGGCCATACAAAGTCACATTTCACTGCTGTTCCTCAGCTTAACTGATTTATCAGGTTTAACTTTTTAGAAGTCCTTATCCAAGAATACTCTTAACTAATCAAATGTCTTCTTTTTAAAATATGTCCTAGTCATCAATTGGTCTTTTTACCTCATGCACATATATGGAAACACTTAGAATAACCAATACATGTGTAGCAATAATTATATAAAAAAACAAAGCTGGATGTTTAGACTTACAATTCTAGCCATGCTGAGTTGCAGTCCAAAAACAAGATTTAATTCTTTTCCTTTAAACCAACTCACAGCATACGTATTCTGTGCCACTGCTAAGGACTCACCGCCAATCCTAAATGAAAGAAGTTCATGAATTTGAGTATTTGATGCAACAATTAAGCAACCCACACTATAACGGTAGCATTTACAACTATGTATCCATGCTGATTTGCAAGGTAACTTTAAAATAAAACTGAGATAAGTAACTGATTCTTCTGCAAACCTTTTCTGATTCTTTCAAATACATAAGCCTCCACTGGATTCTCTATTTTTCAAATGAAATACAGCAAATGTTTAGAGACAATACCCAAACTCACCCAAATACAAATCTGCCAACTTCCATCAGCCAAAAAGCATTACATATTGCTCCCATAGAAAAAATTACCTGTAAGAGGAACATACATCTCTTTTCAGTTAACTACTCAAGCTATGTCACAGGAATGTATTTTAATTCTATATTTGCATAAAACATATTAATATTTTTTCACAGCTTGTAAAAATTATAAATCTGTTTTTCTACATAAAACTGCCATCTGCTTCACTTACTTGTCCTACACAGACGAAACAGCTGAATATTATTGTGCCCCACCTGTAAAGGAGTTTAAATAATTTAAAGTCAGCATTGCAATTGGGAATTCCCACCACACAAAATGATACTATTTACCACAAATGAGGTAAAATTCTCTTTTAGAACTGAATGGACTATACTTCAGAATCTTTTCTCTCTTTCAGATGCGATTCTCTGAAAGCTATCATTTATTTAGCCAAAACAGTAATATCAATAATAACAAAAGTAGATCAAATGTATATTCCACCTTTCCTCCAGTAGCTTTATTTCCTAGTCCACTTTTCCATATATCCCTACAAGGAAAGTTAAAGTGATAGTCAGTGACTGGCCAAAGTCACTGAGAAAGCTTTTACAGCTGAGGGTGGACTCAACACCTCGCCTATTACATCACCTTGATTTTAGGGAAAAAACCTCTCAGGAGGAAGGAGACCCACATGAAAATCCAAAAAGGATCAACAGAAGGTTGACTTTTAAGGGGGGAAAATGAAAAATTAGGGAATCTGGGAAGGAAGTAGGGTAGGTTAAAAAAAAAAAACCCACAGAGAACTATTTAATTGCCTGGATAAGTCCTTTCTTGGTTCATATGGAACACTTGCCAGAGCGCAACTGTAACATCTAAACTGAAATAAACAAGCAACAGAGTAAGCTATTTATAGATATCCTCAAAGACAGAAAACTTCCCATATAATTCCAATGAGAAAACCAAGATTCTACTATAATAGGAATGTAGGTATCTGTGTCTTCATCTCATCCTTCCTGTTACAATTCTGCAATAGCATGGCAGGCCAATTAATTTGGGGGGGGGATAAAATAGAATGCCAGAGCCCTACTAATAAAAATCTACTTTCAAAGGGCAAACAATTAAGCTATGCATACTTGGGAAATTATTAGGAAGAAGAGCTTGGACTTCCATGCAATCACAGAATTCAAAATATGCAAAATTCACCAATTCAGGAACATAATGTAATGTTCCAGAGTTGCCTGGAAGATTCAATTCTCCCTTTGGACCATGCAATTCTGGGCACAATTTCAAAGTCTCTGGAAGTAAACATCCAAATCAGAAATGGGTCGAGATGTGGTGGTGTCAACAAAAAAAAAGCTTCTTACAGAGTCAGACTATTTCTCATTTACAGTTTGGATTATTTATTTCCAGAAACCATCAAACCCCTCTTGACCCTGAAGAGATCTGGCATAATGTGGAAGGGGAACAGAAAGTTCCAAAGTTTTCCCAAATCTTCCTTCCTGAATCCACGAGTTTTTCATGTGCCTATAGAGTACTCTCTGCTATTAACTAAAGGACCCCATCTTTTTTTCCAGGCTTCCAGACAAGCCAAAAAAAGGTGACCAAGCTTTAAATGCCATATTAATTTTAATGAGTGGATTCCTCCCAGGATTTTTTGATGCACACACAGCCCTAGCAAATAAGACAACTAAGGAAATGCTCACATTTGTCTCCTAATCAGATTGAAAAAATATATGAAGTACAGTTTATTCGTACAGCCATTTGAAAAAATATCTAAAATCAATCTAGCTATTATTTTCAAGAAAAATTGATGGTAATTACCTTATTCCAAATACTCTGTCTATCATAAAGCCTCCAAAGAAACAGAGAATCACATTAGGCCAGGAATACCAGGCATACAATGCCATGAATTCGGCTGTGTTTACTTTCATATCCTAAATGGAAGAGAACACAATCTTTGAGCACTGCTTTAATTTTAAAACTTGCTTACTGAATAATCCATCCAACACGATGTCTGTCCTTGCAATATCAAGTCATACCTCTGAAAGTTACTGTCTTGCTACAAAGAAAGATTAACACTGGAATCAGAAATAAAAGATGCAAATATATATATTTTTAAATTTGCAATCAGATACGAACTAGGATGTTCCGCACATGGATCCTTCAGGATCTGGTGAGAGATGAACATATTATTCTAGGTCCTTGTTAGAAAAGAATCCATCTCTTTTGACAACCTTGCATACTTTGGTTATTGTATTTATCTCCCACTTTGCTTCAGAGGATGTAGAATAGCATTTATCATCAAAATAACCACATAAGGCAGTCTTGCAGCTGATTTTTAATTTGCTCATTTGTTTCTTCTCATTCTACAAGGTAATGGTTGTATATCTTAGTGTTCCAGGATGCCCTTTATGGCATGCACTTTCATAATCTTGGACAGGCAGGGTACTCTTTCTCTTAAAACTTTAAAATAAGACAAAAGCAAATAGGAAAAGTAGTATTCTTAGACCATTCTGGCTATTGACAGAGTAATTGTTTGCTCAACTGCTTTAAGAGACAACCTCTAATCCATCTCCCATTCTAGCACAATCAATATCCTGATTCTTCTAAAAAAAAATCTTATGCATATTAATCAAAAGTAATTTCTACTGTGCCTCTTTCTCTAATCAATGCCATTACAAACAATTATAATACTTGGATTAAATACATACAATTCATGCTGACTGTATTAAAAATAAAGTGAATAGGAAATGCATATGTCTTTAAATTTTGCTTTGGATTAATTTTCAGAAAAGCAAACAATTATATTTCTTTACATTTTAACTAGGTTTTCATGATCTGATACTGGATTTGGAATCATATTTAATTGTTTCAACAAAGAACATTTAATGAAAATTCCTTTTTATTAGGGAAAAAAACAATGCATTATGTATCTCAAAGATTTTTACGTAGAAAAAGTGGTACAATTCAGTGCAATACACAGATTTTGCTCTTCACTCACCCTCTGAACTTGAGTCTGCAAAGCTGCTGGATTGTCATAGCAAAAATAGCTGCCTAAAGAAGAACAGAGCAGACACATTATTTGAAAAACATATTCTGAAAATGCTTATATCAATGACCTATGCAGATTATTCAGAATCCACAAGAAAATTCACTATAGAAAAAGAAGGAGGGGGAAATTCCTCCTGTCTTTATCTTGGGGGGGGGGGGGAGAGAATCACAGCTAAAAGAGACTCAGTAACTCCAATCCCAGGATTCAGCAGCAAATAGTAGCACTTTCCAATCATGGCAATTGATAAAAGTAACCGTGGGCACTCTTCCCTCCTACCCAAGGGAGATGCAAGGAATAGCAAGCAATGACTAACGTTTGCTTCCTCCATGGTTATCCACCGCCATCGAATCCCACTTTCGTTTTTTCTCTGCAGTCAGCCATTTCAGAAGGAAGGAAAACAGCAACGGAGGCAAAGCGTAGCTCAGCCCGCTTGAGCCGCACCAAGTCTAGCGCTGCCCCGGAATAACTTAGAGCAAAAAGGGAGCGGCAAAATCGATACTTTCTCGTGTGCGTCCAAGACACGCACTCTTTACACCCTCATACGCTGGCCCAAAGCTGCCAAGAACTATTCTTGAGGCAAAACTTTATTCCACCCCCCGGACACAGCCCCAGTTCAAACAGGAAGGAGGATCACCGACCGAAGCCCAGGAAACACATGAGCGCCAGCACCAGCAGCCTGTGGGCCAGCCGCTGTGGGTCGCACACCGCCGGCAAAGGCTTTCGCGCAGGGCCGCCATGTTCCTTGGGCAGCGAGCCCTCATCCAGCAACGCCTTCTCCTCTTCCTCCAGCAGCACCATCTTGGCCAATCCCGCCGCCCACCTCCAGCAAAGCGCGAGGGGGTCACATGAGCGTCTCGTCACATGACGTGGCCACGCCGTCTGGTCACGTGAGATCCAGCACGCTACTCAGGAAGTGGCGGGCTTCGAGGTGGGAGCGGTTTAAAATGCAAATAACGTGGCCCGAGCGAATGGTCGCAAAGGGGGGGGGGCTTATCTCGTAGACCGTCTTGGCTACCGGAGAAATACGTGTCTGCCTGTCCCATACCTGAACGGGGGGATGTCAGGCAGGAGAAACGCTACGCCTTGTCTCCAAAGGGAAGGTGAGAACAGCCCATAGAAAAATGAAGGCTACGTTGTCCAGTTATTGCGGGTGTGGAGCGCAGCAGCTCCGAAGGATCGTGTTATTCTCACTGGAAGCGCGTCAAATGCTCCCCAAATCAATCCCTTTGCATTCCTCTCCCCGCGGCTTCTGGCGCTCAGCACTGGGCTCCCTCGACTTGAGATGCGTTGCTCGTTTAAAATGCAGAGACAGAATTATGTATGTACAGAACGAATGAGGAAGAAATGCTGTCTTTGCAACTATTTATGGGGTTTAATCTTTTGTGGATGGGAATGAAGTTCCTATCGGACCCCTGTCTTAGTGTCTTTACCTTGTCTAGGGACTTTTGTAGACTTGTGCTGTAGATAATTTTATTTATTTATCTATTTTATTATATATATATATATATATA